TATCTTACTAAAATTACCATTAACTATTATTTTTTCCAAAATGAACTTTTACCACATTAAAAAAGAAACTGTTAATATGTTATTATTGAAAGTCCATTTAGAGCTAAAAAAAAAAGGGTACACGGTAACTCGGCGACGGTCAAGTGAGCACCTGCCAACTGGGCGACGAATACTCAAAAACTCACTTATAACTATAATAATAATAACAATTTATTGGACAAGAAATAAAATATAAAATAAAAATAAATTAAATATGAAAAAATAGATTTATCCATTTTCAAAAATAACCGCTCATATAACAAATTGAAAAAGTGTTCCAATTTAGATATTGCAAACATATTAAAGACAAAAGATTAGTCCTTCAAAGAACCCTACTCGATTGCTATGAACTGTCAAAAAGGTTAAAGTTGAATGTGCCCTTTTTGGCGTATTATTCATTTTCAGGATAATAACTTGAACAAATTGCAATAGATAGCATTAGTTTTTTTCCCTAAGTTTACTACAAATTGTAATTATACTTTTTATATGAAAATATACAATAATATTAAATAAAAAAAATAATTTGTGGCTCTTTATAAAATTTAAAAACCGGATTGCGGCTTTCTTTGGCCTCATGTGTGCTCACCGTTGTTATATAGGATAAATTGTAAACAAAAAACTGCTACCTTTCGAATTGAATTTAAGCATTATGTGAATATAAATACATATATTATTAATAACTGATTAGTTAATTTCCCTTGTGAAAAGAGTTATTTCATCGCATTTCCGTTTTTATTGATGTTATTTCGTTTTTCAGCAATAATAACATATCTTTCATTCAATCAAAAATAAATCGATTGCCCAATAAAAGGGCAATTAATTTCGTTTGCTAAATATCGGGGATCTAGTGTATATATAATTTATCTGTTCTAGCGCGTATTTTTGGGGTTAGTGGTTTATATATATATATATATATTTGTACGTGCACGGATTTATGTACAACATATATATTTTTGTACATGAGAGAGAAAGGATTTGAACCATTTTTTTTTTGATTATTTTGGTTGGAGTCCAATCTCGTTTTGTTCCATTGCAGCAACGGAAATAATAAAACGCGCAAGGGTATAAAAAACAATTATATCGGTCGTCCCTCAATAAATAATATTTATGTTGCGGAGCACCTGTATAGAGAGAGAGAGATGTTCTCTGCTGTGCAATTTTGTGGTATGTACACATTCCAATGAGATAATAGAGACATACATACATGCTCCCTCTCTCATCTACCAAAACATTATTACATACAAATGTTTATTAGCCTACAACCCCCATTAGTCCGAACAGCATATTACGTATTGCAAATCACTGCATGTATATTAATGCATCCATTATCGGCAATTTACTTGAAACTAAGTCATTCCATCCACAAATAATAACAGATGCAAATATGACTATTCTCAATACATAAATAGTTATGTCAGAAAAACTGTACCATAAATAAAGAACATTATAAACTTACTAGGGTGAAAAAAACTAGGTCGATTATTTGTTGGATTTATAATATATTTTAATTTTGTTATATATTGCAAATAATATTTATTTATCACAAATGTGAGCAAAGGGCTATCGACCTAAGACTTTCCGCAAAGAGACACAAAAAACATATAAATTGTCACAATAAATCATACAAAAAAAAATGATAAAATTCGTTCGGACATGGTCTATACTCTCTTCATGATGAAAGACCTGGACGTCCTGTGGTTCATACTCGTAGAAGACTTCTGCTCCGGGTCATCTACGTAAAACATCAAAACATAAACATGATGTCCTGACAAACAGACGTGTGTTTCAACATTGAAGTTATTTATAAAACGTCTCTTCAAGCGTTGCAGAACCTCTGTGCGATTTCTGCATTCTTTGGCGAATTTAACTTGTGTCCTTATTTTGGTATTAGGTATACCCGGGGTGGGTTTTGTTGGTCTCGTTGCGCTTTTGGATGACCATGAAGCGTGATCCTCCGAGTTGCATGTCAACATCTGGGGGAAGTGGCTACGAAAATCGGTTTGTCGGATGTTGGTCATATTAAAATTTATGTTGTTTTATAATTTTTGTGCAATATATTATTGTTATTAAGTACCATTTCTATTTTAAAATTATAATAATATTCAGTTGTGCCATTCCATTTATTTTATAATTTTATTGGCTCATTTAGGATCAATATTTAACTTCATTTTATATGTAAGGTGTAGATATGTAAGGTGTAGAGCTGAGGTAAGTAGGAAGGAAACGGTGGTAAATGAAATCCCGACAACCATAATCCCGATAGTATTGTAATCTATTTCGATATAGACCCGGAAGTATCTTACGCTATTCGTCTTATGTATTGGGTGGTGTAATATGTTCACAAGTTTTTTGTATTTAATTTTTCCATACAAATTTGTATTTTGTTATATAAAGTATATGCAATTTTCCGAATTGCAATTATAATCAATTTTCAGTCTTCGTCATTGGCGAAAGTAATGTCCTTCGTTTCATTATGGAGTGTGGAGCATACGGTAGAACGATTCGCGATGTTTGTGGTTTTTGGGCGCGCATTTTTGTGAAGAAAAATGACTTCAACACGTAGATCAGCTCTTTTCTGTAGAGTTGCTTCGTTCACGCAATTAAGGTGGGTGAGATAATCTTGTTCTTTTCCTGTATTTCCCAGAAGATTTAATGTTTAAATAACTAAATATAGTAAATTAATTTAAGTTTGGCAACAACGTCAATAGATTCAAAGTTAACACATGAATTCCAACTGCAGTTTAAAATATAGATTATGCAATATACAGTGATTGGTATGTGACGATAGAAAAAAAAACTATAGAAATTGCACATATTCCAGATTTTACATATCTATTAGAGAAAAGTTGTTATTAATTAATAAAATCGTGAATATCTGTCCATCATTATTTACTATAAGTATAAAACAAAATGTTTCATTTGATATAATTTTCGCTTTCACTTGATCAATCTATTCTCGCAAAATTTTAACTCGTTACGCAACATAAAATTGTTGTCAGTCATTTTTTTATTACTTTCATTTACTATGGTATTATTCATTAATTTTTATATATTTCTAAATACAATAATTTAGATTTAGATTTAAATTTAAAAAAAAATAGTTGTATTATATATAAAACAGATATATTTACAGCTTTTGAAATGATACCTCTGTTAACGAAGCTTTGTTATAATGAAGTATACAATTTCATAATAAATATTCCAATTTAAAGCCAAGAAAATATTTCTAGAATATTGAAAACGTCTCATTCTTGTAGTGAAAATGTACCTGATTTAAGACGAAGTTTTTTTATAAACCGATCAATGTTAATTAAATAAAACAGACAATTGTTAAATGAAAGAAAATAAAACAATAAAAAATCAACTTTAGATTCATGTATTAACATGTAAATAAAACTTTCTTTCACCATTCTTGTCATAATATTTTTATCTTTAAAAACGAAGTTTAGCTTAATGATATAATTTCGTTAATTGAAGAATTAATGTATTAAGAACTGCATTTAATTTTATTTATGAAACAATTTTATTAAATAGTAACAGATTATTTACAATTATAATTTATATTTTTTTATAAATATGTACTTTACCTTAAAATTGTTTATCCAAATAATGAAACGTTACTAACAGAAGTAAATTTAATAACATTAGTTATAAATATATTTAATATTAGGAAAAAAAATGGGAAATGGAATTCAGATGGACAATAATAAAATAAATATAGACTTTTACATTAATTTCTTTTATTTTTATCATGAAATCAACCAGTAAGAATTATAATACAGTTCCACAGTATATGTACATTATTATATAGTAATTATAAGTATTATGGTATGTGTGTATGCGTTTTAAGTTTTATTTATTTATGTTAGTATGTTACATTCTTGTTCTGTTACATCTACGAATCAGCCCATACCACAGTTATAATCCGTCGCTTCTTTCATGCACTCATTCATTCATTCATACATTCATTTTTTTGTTTATTCTTCTCTTCGTACACATGCTCAGCCTTTCTATCACATGCGAACCATTACAAAGGGCTGCCAACATATGTATAGGTAAAATACATAAATTTATCAAACGACACGAGAGTAAAGATATATTTTTACATGGCGTAAACGCAGCCCTGGCGCACGTAATTTCACAAACAAAAAAAAGAAACGTAATAATACGCCAACAGATTTTGGCTTTTGAATTTTTTGAATACGACTTGGTCACCCTATAGCCAATCAAATACCATCGGAGTAACTTGATATTTCATACTTATGTTCAAATAGACCTGTTTTCCTTACTTACATTTAATATCTCATTACGTCACGAATCCTTTTTATTTTTATAAGCAATATTAATCCAGAAGTTATTTTGTTTTTATCAAGTTGCATCAACACTGTGAGTGGAATAAAAATCTGTCAGGTTTATCAATCTATGATAACCAATAGGTTGGTAGACCTGTCAGATTTGTATACGACGACCTGCAGAAAGTAGTTGGTACACCTGATAGATTTGTATGTTTTATGTCAGGCGCAGTGCGTAAGTAACATATTTTTAACATTTGTAAATTGCAAATCCCATTTAAAATATTTGCAAGTGTTCTTTTTTCAGCCTTGTGTACGTATAGTATTGAAATTTATAACACTAGTAAACTCACAATTAAATTTACTTTATTATATCCATAGATGGCACTGCCTATAATCATGATCCATCCAAGTAGTATACGTGTTGTGACGTTGCTTAACTATTTATTTTTTTATACACATATTGTATAGAATGCAAAAGTATTTAAAAAAAATGTAATTGCATTTAAATCAAATAATTTCAGAGGAATCCAATGATATCTTGGCACAAGTTTTCAATGTTATCTGCACAATTAAACCAGGTAAATTTTATTAAACGAATTTGTAAACATAATTTACCTATATAATTTATCTAATAAATATTTTAATTTCATTACTTTTTTATGCACATATTTCTTCAAAAATAATAAACTTTATTATTATGATTTTCTCTATTCTGCTTTCATTTCACTAAAGTTTAATACTGTTTCTCCAAATTCAGCTTTTGACTAAATAATTCAAAGATGTTATTCATGAAGTTTTTGTTGAAGTTCCGGGTATTTGATTGGCATCGGGACTATAGAAAGTACCTCTTGTTTTCTTCTGGTTATCACCTAATATTTAATTTTTCACTTACTTAACGCACCCAAAAGTGTTCTAAAAAACTGTCCATAGAAAAGAATCACCATATTGCACCAATAAACAACACGAAGAACAGATGAGCTCCACTAGGAATTATCCAACCACCACCTGAAACAATACAAACAAATTATATAATTATACCCCTAATATATTTGTTTCATTACAGCTATACCTCGCATAGTGCGGTTTCTTTTCTATATACAGTCAAGTTTCTTTTTGTTCTCATTATCGTAATTTAAAGTTATCAATTAGACTTATTTCAAACAGTGCGTGATATTGGCAAAGCTGATTACCACACAAAGCGAGGTATTGCTGTATACACATAAAAACGAATTATGAAAATGTAGACAAATTAAATAAACAGAAATATCTTTAAACTGTTTGTAAATAAATAAGGAAAAAAATTGATTATGGAAATATTAAATAAAAGAAAATGTCCTTAACATGTACAAAATATATATATAAATTAAGTAAGTTGGGAAAAATATTTATATCAAAGTGTTAAAAAAGGAATGTGTACTATTGTCAATTTTTATAAAACTTGAAACTTCAAAGTTACATAGTATTTGGTACCATTAAAATGATGGTGTAGATGTAGAAATATTATAAAACAAAACGTAGTTCAGTGAATTTCAATGGAAAACGCAAGAAATAATTAAGAAAAGCCCAAAGTTTTTATCTTGCAACATTGAGGCAGAAAAGGATATGATAATAATGGAAGAAGTTATATACATCTGTTATTTATTATCTAAAGCATTGCAGCTATTAGAAGATTATGAAATACAAATAAAAGCAACAAACTTGTACCGTTATTCTAGGAAAATTTTAGTTTACTTTAGGTAACCGATGAACTTATTCCATTTTCGCTTGATCCTCTGCGAAAAACAACACAAAGTTTAGAGATTACGATGTTTTCCGGGAAATTTGTTCATTTTATATCAGTAGTAAAATGATTCATGTTCCTAGTACAGAAATTGTCTCTAAACATGATCTCTTTCTTAATTAATAAAAAACAATTGAAGTTATGTTTATATTTTTATGAAAAATATAAAAAAATAGTATTATTATAAAAAAATACGACGAAAAACATGTTATAAACACAATACATTTTAAATGAATTTATTAAATTGATGTTTAAATATTTCGTTGCATCAGAAGTAATTAAACACTGCGTACCAAAATAAAATCGCGTATGAAAAATCAACAATTGTTTAAATTTTAGATATCCGACGGTTAAACCTCTGCAGAACTTTCAATCACATTTACTAAAAAGCGCAATTCCGTTAATTTAAACAAAGCGATAGTTTTTTACGTGCAAAAATAAATTCACCCACTGGGAACAACTCGAAATGATACTAAATAAATGATAGCAACGCATATTTCTAGTCTACAATTTTTGTTTTCTGCCATAAAATATTGCAAATTTTTCTATGCAACGGGGAATATGAAATAATGCAGCATACATCGATTCTACGCATAAAAGCATTTCAGTTCGAAATTGAAAAAAAACACTTCAAAAATGTTTTTTTTTTTAAGTTTCAATAATTGGTTATTATTACCTGAAACATGCATAAATCAATTATATTTATGGATTGTTAATTAAAGTACTTGATAAAAGTTAACGTAGTGCAAACTAGTATCTACAATTAAAATCTAAAACAAATTACGTCTCGGTTTCCGAACAAGTTTATTATTTTCAAATAAAATTTTCGTTTATCAACAAACAAATAAGCAATTGCATATTTCTTTATGTAACTTACAATTCGAAACATATGCGTTCATCAGTAGAATTTACGGTTTGTTAATTAAAGTACTTGGTAGATAAAATTACACATAGTGCAAACTAGTTTCTATAATTAAAATCAAAGACAAATTTCCATGCAAAATTGAAAAAAAAACACTTCAAAAACTTTTTTTTAGTTTCAATAATTGGGTGATATTACGAGACACATCCATAAATCAGTACAATTTACGGAGTATTAAATACAGTACCTGGTAAAAAAACATGAAAATGAGGTGGTAATTATTTTCCAAAACAAAAATCCAAAATACAAATTATCAAATCCAAAAAACAAATTATCAATCAAATATTTCACATTTTTTCATACAATGGGGAATATGAAAGAATGCAGCAAATATGGAGTCTATAAATAAATGCATTTTAGTTAAAAATTAAAAAAAAAACTTTTTTAATTTTTGAAATTTCTATAATTGTTTATTATCTAACACATTCATTAAAAAATACAAATTACGGATAGAGAATTTATTAAAGTACTTGATAGATAAAATTAAATGAGATGGAAATTAGTTTCCAAAACCAAATCCAAAAACTTCTCACTTTCCGAACAGAATTATGGTTTTTAAGTAGTACTTCCTTTTCTCAAGAACAAATTTATCAATAATTATCGATTCTACGTATAAAAGCATTTACTTGCGAAATAGAAAAAGAAATATTTGAAAACTATTTTTTTAAGTTTTAATAATTGCTAATATTAATAAAATTGAGAACGGTCTCCGCACTAAAATCTAAATCGAATTTTGTCGGTTTCCGAACAAAAATCCAAAATGAATAATATAGAATTTCTATTTTTTTAAATTAAAGTTAGCAATTATGGACGAATACACAATGGTACTTCGTAAGATACTCTCATTAGTTACGTCATCAATTATTCCTACAATTTTTTTTATGTCGGGTAATTTTATTTACAATCTCTTCATCAATGTGAACATTGATTAAATTTAAGATCGCGGTTGACATTAGGTAGGTAATCTTTCCCGGTGGATAGTTACCATTATGATGATTTTTAATTTGTAGGTTCAGTAGTATATTAATGCTCTGTAATTCCACTATTTCCTTTCACTGTGAATCTGCTGCTATCCTTAACACTGTCATTGTTCATCGACTTGGCTGAAGGTCCATATGCTGAACCTCATTCATTTGACTGTCCATCTGTGATGAACGATGGTCCTATTGCTGCAAGCACCGAGAGGGCTCACAAAGGGCCTGGCTTGACCAGGATTTGAACCTGTGACCACTGGCACGTGGGTAGGGTGACTTAACCAGTTCGTACAAATAAAATAAAATGATTTTTTTTCAAATAATTCTAAATATAAATTTAAAAAAATATATTTATTCCATATAATTTGTTATTGCGCTAATTGTTATTTTTATCATTACTTAGGTTTTTACCTGTTTACAGTATTTTTGTATACTTTAAGCATTAATTACTCTTATAAAAATTGAATTCAATAAAGAACAAATCTGTTTTTCGAGGAAGAGATTATATGAACTTTAAGAATATATTATTTTTGGCCACCGAGGTTCATTCATTGCAATTCATGTTCTCCTATGATTTAAACTTACAGAAAGTTAACATAACATTGATGAATTTTAATGAACGGCATTGCGGTTACTCTTGCCGTTCCGGATTTCATTTTTTATTCTCCTACTCTCTCTTCTATTCAGTATTGTTTGTCGAAAAGTTGGTAAAGTTTCAATTATAACTTAATCCCTAAAGTCGCGGAAGCTCAAAGTACTTTGCGGAAAGTTTCTGTTTGATTTGTTAGCGGATGTATCAATATTGATCAAATGCTGGAAATCCGATCTGCTGAGGGCATTGTGTAATATATATATACCATATATACTATATATACATATATCTATATACATACACACGTGTATACTCCACTCGATGTGCTCAGACCATTATTACTTCGTAATCTCCTCAATCTGCGCTCAACAGATTTTTAATTACTTTTCCTATTTACGAAATCGATTTCACGTTAGAACAAAGGATGTATTACTCAATTAAACGATAGGGTCACATTTCCCAAAGAGATACACAAAATACTCTTTTTTCAATTAACTTTCACAAAATATCAAAGTGTTTCTGAATACCGTATTTTAATGCATTTAATATAAATTGTATATCAATCTATAATCAGGCAGTTTAATTATTTTCCATCTCTAATTATCTCCAAATTAGAGATAGTAGAACCTTGATTTTTTAAGATAAATCCTTCTTACATTCTTAAATGTTGAACGTCAACCGATTTGTTATTGTAAAAACTAAACCAATTTATCTAGATTTAATGTAAAATGGAAAAATCCATTCACGTAGCATAAATAATTATTTCTTTTAATCAGATATACAAAATCTTAATCAATTTATAAATAATAATATTTACGTAACCTAAAATTAAGTAAAATAGGGAAAAAGCCTTAAATATGAAAGAATTTTAAGAATATTTAATCCAAATGAAAGTTATTAAACTTTTGAAAATTTAATATAAAATTAATACGTCAATTCGGCTATTGGTAGTTGAAATTATGTTCTTAAACCGAGGTTTCACTGTATAACTTAAATTGCTATGTTAATATACATATACATCAATGCCTCGCATAGTGCGGTTTCGACAAATCCGGATTATAAAATGTAAAAAATAATATTCAAATTATTGTGCGGTTTATTTATGTATGTATTTAGTTTCTTGAATAGTCCGCGATATTTGCGGAACCAATTACACACATTATGTTGGAAATAGTTGGAAATATTTATGAATTCTTTTGCGGTAAAGAAATCTTGCATTCTACAAATAGTAAAAAAATATATAAATGAATAATGTATTTTATATATAGAGTTTAATTGGCTTCGTGAGTTCAATGGATATATATATATATATATGTTCAAAAGCAAACGTAATGAAAGGGAGGCAATAAAGTGATAATAGGGCAAGATTCATATGAAATATGTGGAAGCTTACATGGAAGGAAAACGGCCGTTATCGGTTAACTAAGTGGAATACATTCACGGCATCACGTAAATGGGCACAAGGAAAAATAGATGTAGAAACGATAAAGATTACTGCTGATAACAATCTTTGAATAACAACTAACTTTCCAAGTCCAGAAAATAGAGGTAATTAAGTCGTTTATAAGCACTGGAGTTATGCGAATTATCGATTACCTGCATACGTATCTTAGATTACCGACATGAACGTGGATATATCTAAATCTTTCATTATAATATTTCGTTTGTAAATAAATGGATACTACGAGTTCAATGGTTGCATTGTATTTTTTATTGAATTGTAACAATCAAGTGGTG